GGCAGGAGAAGTTTAGAAGGTCTCAATAAGTGGTTTCTTGGTTGAACTAAACAGGCTTTAAATTCCTTTCAGATTTTTGAGAACCTCCACTTCCACTCAAAAGAAGTCCACCTTTAGTCTCAGGCTACCTGTAGTGTCATATGTAACTTTTTTCTAGACGTTTTAAAATTTGCTTTCCTAGATTTGCTTTTAGGGTGCATTTTGTATTTTATTAATTCTAAGAAATAATTTTTTTCCAACTACATTTAACATCTTTGAAACCACGATGCATCTTATAATTGTTGTCTTGTCATAGTTTTCATTGCTTAAAGCAAGCATGAACGTTAAAGTACTGGCATCAAAATTTAAGAATGGGTGTGAGCATATCGGGAGAAATTTCTAGAGATGAAGGTGAAATATTCATAGGTTGTGAGGAGAAGTGGAGTGAGTGGTGCAGCAGACATGTTTAGCAACATTCCTGAAGTAGAAGTCAAAAGTAAGCGAACTCCAGATAATTGCAAAACCAGCCTAGAAGTCTGGCAACGATAACTGTCACTCTTGTTACGGCTTCTTTTAAGAAACGCTGCGTTACTAATGCTCTTCACAGGAAAGAGTATGTTACAAGAATGGGAAAACACAGACTTGGCTAAATCTGAGTGGAAAAGTGTTTCAGAAAAGTCAGACTCTGAAAGTGAAATAGTTTTAGGAATACCTTACCCAATTTCTTTCCCTTACAGTGTCCTTTTTTATGAATATTTAGAGTGATTCTGATTTTTTAATTTTCTGTTTCTAATTAAGCCTAAAAGACATCGTGTGACTACTTGGCCACAATTTCCTTTCTTAGTGTTCTCTTTAATGGTGCAACCTACAGTCAACGTCATTTTAGATTCAGTGAATTACAGTCATAATAACAATTTACTGCTTCTACCAAGTATGTTACTTGCATAATCTCTTTTAATCCTTCTAGCAGTTCTGTAAGGAAGATGCTATTATAATTATGCCTTGCAGATGAGGAAACACAACTTCAGAGACAGAGTATCTCGTCCAAGGCTATACAGCTGGTAAGTAGTAAAAGTGATGTTTGAACCCAAGTCTATTAACTGCTTAGCCAGGGTTCTTAATTTCTATACTCTGTCACCTCTAGGTCCAAAGCTAATTAGCTTGGCTATTACAACTTAACACGTTACATTAAGAGCATAGTAAGTGTAAAGAAATGGGGGAGAGGTCATTTCCCACATCACTGTAATGAGATTGGCTCCTTTGAACTGAAAAAGGCTAACATGTACTATACCAATTCTTCAGCCTCAGATGTTAGCTGAATCAGGGATGTACAGTTACATGAGGCTTTGTTATAATTAGAATGTCAAGCATTGAAACCAATTATCTTTGCAGGTGTAATGACTGGGGAATAAACTAAACCAATATGGGCAAACTGTAGTACATGTTGGGAATTTGGTGAAGAACCACGATGACCTGGCTGGGAATAAGAGCTCTACCTGGCAGAAAGTTCTCATTTAATAAGGAAATATAGACAGGAGTACATTTCTCTTAGTTAACTGCCGACCAGCTAACAAGAATTCAGAAGACGGATGGGTTAGGATTACAAACAGGGATATTGACTCTGGAAGGACTGTACTGCTGGGCTGTTGCACAACACAAGGTTAGTAATGTTACCAAGATCCAACTGGGGGAATTCAATAGCAGATAAAGAGTCAAGAGGTTCTCTGGGTCTAATTAAGAAATATATAAGTATGATGATGTGCTATCCTGAATAGGGTAAGAGAAACAAGCTCTCTCATGCATAATTTGAAAATATCTATTAAAATTAAAAAAGACTCACATTCTTTGATTCAGCAATTCTACTTAAGTCTAGGAGTTTATCCCACAGATATGTTCAAATATGTGCATAAAGATATAGGTGTAAGAATATTAATTGCAGCATAATTTAAAACAGCAAAAGTTTAAAAATAATCTAAGAGCTCGTCAGTAGGAACTGGCAAATGTCATCTCTCTGGTAAGTGATTTGTGAACCTCCACACTGAGCTTAGTGCTCCTCCTCTGTGCTTTTAAGCACCTTAGCACCCCATGTCTTAAAACCTGTAGTAATGAAAAAGTCTGTTTATTTGTCTGTCTCTCTCTGTAAGGGTACTCTTATTTCCCTCTTTTCCACTCCCCACCAATAGAGGTTGAGGCCAAAGTATACGTAAAGGCACAGAGGCATGAAAGAGGCTGGTGTGCTGGGGAAAGAGCAAGTGGTCAGTGTGACTGCTCTATACGTCATGATAGGGAGTTTGGACTTTAACCTAGAGGATTTGATTCACTCTTTTACGGAAAAAGTCATAAGTGTAGAACCCGAAGAGTTGAGTTCCTTCTTTCTATAGAGCTAAGTCCAGATAAGAAACTTAGACCCAGGGAGGACAGAATGAGAGAGTAAAGCTGAGATCCAAATGAAACTTGCCAGAACCCTTTCTGCTCTCTGGTGGAGGACATGTGGGTTCCTTGCCTGGTATCTGGTATGGACTCCCACAGGTTTAGGGTCGAGGTCTGAGTCTGAGACACAGAAGTGATCAGAGAACCAGAGAGAAGCAGCTTCCTCCCCAGGCTACTCCAGCATTTTGTTGCTAACCTTGCTGCTTGGGAATGAGCCTGAGATTCTCCTTAGGCAGCCTGGGCTAGCCCAAAGTTTCCCTAAATACATGCTGGAACCTTAAACAGAAGCTGGATGAGGACTTTTTTTTTTCCCCAGAGGAGCATGGCCAGTAATCTGCCTGTCTGATATCTCTTGATATTTCCTTAGTGCAGGTCTTCCCGGGAGATCATTAACAGATATTGTAAGGGAAGATCAACGAGAGCTGGGGAGCTTAAAGACAGTGGAGACTAGAGGGCATAAAACTCCCTCTTTCCCCCGCCACACACACATCACTCTAACCCATAAGTTCTTGTTCTTCCCCACTCCCCATATCCCTAACCTTAAATGGAGGTATGTGGCAGGACAGGAAGAAAGATACTGTGGCTGCTAACAAGGTGTGAATGAGGAGATACTGAAGAGATAAAACTCTCTTTTGAATGGCTATTTCACTCTTTTGCTCTCTTAAAAAATGGTCAACTGAGTTTTTAAATTAATTTTTATGGGAGTATAGTCCCTTTACAATGTTGTGTTCATTTCTGCCGTGCAGCAAAGTGAATCAGTTATACGTAACAACTGATTTTTTTTTTTAATGACTTGATTCTTTGATTTCCTAGACTCTTGATACTAATGCTAGTCACTTCCTGTCTAGATCAGGGATGGCAGAAACTTCAGGGGCCACGGGAGTAGAGTGGGGTTAGCCAGGGAAGGCTTGCTGGGGGAGAGTTCTGAGAAGTGAGCTAAGCCTGCATTAGAAAGGTGGAAATCAGAACCACAAAGACACTTGTAAACCAGAACCCCAGTACTGGATTATAGGGCCTGGACATACCTCCTCAGGGTTAAGCAAGTGTCCACTGAGGTCAGTTTATTTGATTGCTCTTTTGTAATTTTAAATTAGCTTCTCCTCCGGTAAGGCTTATTGATGCCCTCAATAAGGAATGCTTCCAAATATCCATCCCAAATATCCAACGGGTTAAAGAACCTCTTAACAAGACTTTCATGTTCTGATCCCTTCCTACTTCCCCATGTTCATCTCCTATCACCTTCTCCCTAAAACACACCCCCCCACACACACACACGTGCATAAATACACATAATTCTCCAACCACTTTCAATTATTTGCAGCTCTACAAACACACCATGGTCTTTTATGTCTCTTTGCCTTTGCACCCTCAGCCTGCATGCCCTACCCCTCAATCTTTTCACCTCTTCTTGGTGAAATCTTGTTCTTCCTTCAAGATTCAGTTTCCTCCTCTGAATTCCCAGTGTTTCATAGAGCACTTATCACACTGCACTGTAATTTATGTGTGTACCCACCTGCCTCTCTCATTTTTATAATTTCAGTGACTTTGCAGTAATACCATGGTGAAGATAATACTAAGAAGAAAAGGATGAAGTATGTTGATGTTATTCTGGTTAAGTGTTCAAAAAGAAATGGGAAATTGCATTGTGACTGAATGTGTATCAAGTAGAAGGATGGGAGGGTAGAGTTGTTATCAGTTCTAAGCCTTAGCAGTAAACGTTAACTGATGAAGGGTAAGGACCCAATGAGAATAAACCTCCTGGGAATAATTCACACCAGACTTGCAGAAAACCAATAGTTTTAGTAGGCAGATGAGGGACTTATAAAAATTGAATTGTACGTTAGTGTTGGAATGGCTCTTCGGGAGGTAAGAACCTGCTAAAAATTAGAATTCAGCAATTTTGAGAATTTGTCTTAATCTTTCTTCAAAGAGATTTCTTGATGCTAATAGTACCACTTGTTTAGTTAGGCTAAAGTGAGCATGGCCTGCTTGCTGCCACCAGAGCCCATGAGCCTGTCTAGCTATGTTGGTGCAGGAGGTGCATCTGGGTGAGTCTAACAGTATGCTGACCCTTATAACCTGGAATGGAGGCCCACACAAGTCCCTTTCCCTCTCTAAAACTAGCCCAGGACTTTGAAGGTATACACTCATCAGAAACAGAACTGAAAGTCTTTTAAAATTTAACATTAAAGTCATGATGAATAATTACAACTTGACCCTTAAATGTTCCAAACAGCTTAGTACCAAATAACCTTAAGCACCAAAAAATTGCCTGTGCTGAAATACATGTTGGGTGGATTTATATGAAAAGCTAAGGATGACTAAATTCAACTTCCAAACATATACCTCAAAGTAGTAAATAACAGGTTTCTCCTTCCTTACTGAAATCTGTGAGGGGAAGGAAGCCATCAGAGGGAAGGCCTTGTGGTTACAAGGATGTGCTGTGTTAGATTGACATGGCAGCCACCACACTTTATAAGCCACAGTAAGACAGAGGGATGCAGAGATGGCTTTGTAGGGTCTCCACGTGATGGGAAGCAGGAGAGACCAGGGATGGATACGCCTGGAGAGGGGGCAGTAGCCACCCCCTCCCTCAGCTCTCCACAGCAGTGGTCTCAGGGGTTCCCTGACTCACAGCAAAGTGGGAAGCGGGGGTCTCGAGTGTGTCCCTGTGCTCTGGAAAGGCCTGTGGCTCCTTTAATTCCAGGACCACCCGGCTGAGAAGGCCTTTGAGCAGCTGCATTTCTCGGAGCAGAAGGTCCATGTCGGGTTTTAGGGCTCCAGTGGTTTGTTCCAAGGGGGTCAGCGGAGCGCAGGCAGGTGGCCCAGCAGTGGGGGCTCCGCCCGCGGGGAACAGCAGCCCGGCTGAGGTGGTGTTAGGGACGGAGGTGACCGACGGGACCGGTCTGGACAGCGGGGGCTCTCTGAAGGAAAGCGGCTTGTTAGCGGGCGCCAAAGCCGCGGCCTGTGGGGCCGGGACGGTAGTGGACGCCACGTCCAGGGGAGAACCTGTGAACGCAACACACAGAGAACCGCACGGCTGAAATCCTTCTCCCAAGGGCTGCGGGGTCAGGAGGGGCAAGGGATGGGGG